CAATGCGTTACATTTTTATAATCGACAAGTGTAAAGAGGTCATATTTGTGACGTTAGACGTGCTAGAAAATGAAGGCCAACTTTGACTATTGAAAAAGGCCTCTGGTATATGCCGCTTGATCATAAAATCAATATAAAATGGAACCTTGGCTTTTGTACTAACTTACTGGAAAGTTTTAGCTCTGGAAATCAAATATCATCCTGACACCAAAGCAAGCGGTGAGAGCAATTGAATTGGGAAATTTATGCAAATTAGACGGCTTGCGGACGGTTGTCAAACTAAAAGAAAGGTTTTACATGAAAGGATTACTCACCATTGCTTGTAACACGTTTTCACCGCAAGGAAAGTTATTTCCAACTTCTGTTGCGTCGTTTTAAGTCACAAAATATATAATTTTTAGCCAAAAGACAAACGTACGTTTGCTCAGCAACTGCGTCCGAATCCGGCCGTGAATCGAAATAAAGTCACAACACGTCGAAGCAAGAGTTACAAGAGTTTTTACTTCAGTCAGGAGGCAAAAGGAATAAAAATTCATCGCAAACTAATGACTTCGATTTTGAAAACCTTTCATCACTTCAATCGTTCGTCGGCTGATAATAAACATCGCATAAGATCGTATGACCTTTGGTGTGACCGGAAATTGGTCACACGCTTTAGTCGCGTCAGCATGCTGTCACGAAATTTTCGTAGCTGTTGTCAGCAATTTTAATACAGTTTTCACATTTTTTTGACAAGAAATCCTCTCATCGCAGTAGAAACATCCATGCATATTTATTTTTCTTTTATTTACCTACTAGGCTTTGAAACAGCTTTTTGCCTTCGAAGTACTAAACAGGAGGGGTACCTCGGATTCCAAGTGTCGTGAGTGATCCGTGGAAGCGAAAATTAAGACCAAAAAAGAACAAATATTTTGAATCCTTAAGTAAAGCCACAGCTAAAAAAAAAAATTTGTTCAAAATATTTTCAAACCAAGAAAAAAACATACTTCGATCATCCCCGTGAATCTGGCCAGAGTACCCCATCCCCCTCCCCCTCCCCTCCTCCCCTATGCCGGGTCAAAATACTAAGTTCCCCAGGCCCAATGTCCCATAGTCAAGGGAGTATACTCTCTTGCTGTAGTAAAGAACTTGCAGAATAATACCAATTCTCCGTGGCCAACGGACTCAACGCTATAGTTCACTTTGGTTTTGCTTGTTGATTTTTTCGCTATTTGCTCACGATCAGGCGCCTATAACCCCAATCAGGACCAAATTATGAAACCTGTTATTACCAGAAAAAAAACACAAAGAAACAGTCAGTCAGATAGACAGTACATAATTAAAAAGACCTCGACTAAGGTTAAAAAAAATCAATACATGACACTGTCAAATACGAAAACCCAGAAACCATTTTGTGGAAAAAAGGTTCGCATACAGCTATCAGCTGCTTTTGTCCACAACTCGCCGGTAAAGGTGCGCGGAAACTAGTGATTGTGAAATGCCTTCAAACTATGATCCTATACTGTTGGAATATTACTTATCACAGAAAGCTACACCTGATTTCTTCTAGCAGACCCAATCCTCTCGGTTCGTGTGGACAAAGTAGCTCATCCCGGCTATTTGCACCATGCTACCATAGTCTCCCTAGATTCCCAAGCCTCGCAAGCAGACCTTCCTGTGCCACGAACGTTGGGTAGGTTTGTAGGACGAGCCAAAAGAAAGTGAAGGCTATAGGCTCTCGCGATGATGCAAGGAAGGTGGAGTATTATATTCCCCTATCCTGGTCGCCCAGGGTATGTCTGCGGAGGAGAGTGACTGAGGGGCTGTATGTTCGAAAAGTTGACTAACGCCCCCGGGACTAACGCTTTCCCCTGGATAAATCTATATCCAATAAGTAACGCAATTGCTTCTTCTTATTCGCTTGATAGTGATTTCCTGTTGTTCAACGTTTGAACAACAGGGCCTTAAGTATTGTGTTTCGTCTTGCACTAAAAACCCATAAACCTTATAAATTTCACTATGGGACTTCAGCACCTCCCTTGAATGATCCATTTCGCTAAACGGGACCTCAAAACAACGATTCTGTGTATCCTAAGGGAGTGTATACTATACTTTCCTGACTCTCGTCACTCACAGTGAGGTGATGGTGGCTTATACTCTAATAGACCTAACACAGTCGAACCTCCATGTGCGACCGCCAATCCAAAAGACCAAATTTTCCCAGTCAAAGCCTTACAGTTGGAACCTCCAGTAAACGACCACCTTCTGTAAGTGACTGCGACCACTTTTTGGGCGTCACGGTTGATTGTTTTCCATGAGCGACCAGCTGACGCATTCTCTGCTCTCTATTTTTGCTGTGTGCACTATGTTCCTTAGAAAATATGAAGACATTTAGTGACATCGTGGAACTACACATATCCTAACTTAGTAGATGTAGCCAACAAAGTGAAGATACTGTTGTGATTCTAGACTATTCTATATGTCACTCACCTGAATCTCTCTTTAAATTGAGCATGATTTAAAAGCTGTATTTGTCAAAAGAGGTAAAAGATAATATTTTGCCAGGAATTTGTTACACCGCCACTTAATAGAATGTGCCTGGACCTCTTCTCGAAATAGACTCCGTGTGGTCCGATTCTTCTAAACGACCACCTCCCGTTAGGGACCACTAAGTCTTTGCATTTTTGGTGGTCGCTTACTAGAGGTACGACTGTATTACTTTGACCTATCAGAGGCTTACCGTTAATAAAGGGGATCTGGAAGGGGGCATGGATGCGACAATCACATGCAAGGTGACTTATTTAAAATAGTAGACATCTAACTGACAATCAAAGTTTGTGCTTATTATTGGGGTTATCTGGTGTTTACTCACCTCCCAAGCTACCCTGGGCGAGCCAAGTTTTCCTCCATTTCCTTACAAAACTTGCTAAGCCATTTACATGAGAAACAAAAGGTTGGTTCGGATAGACGCCTTACTACCAGTAGTGGGCGGGGTTGAGGGCTTCCGGAAGTCGGCCCTCCACTGAGCCGGTAGTGGTGGCCTCACCCTTCTAGCCCGGCTAATATTTCTCCACTTTGGCTCGCCCAGCTAGCTGGGACAACACGGTCAAGGCTAGACAAAGACAGCATGCGCAAGCACTGTTGACTCGGACAAAGTGGTCAGTTTTTTTCTCATATAAACGCTCGCAAAAGTTGGCTCGGGGGAAAAGGTTGACCTTCTCTCCGGAACAGCTTTTCTCCATCCATGGGTTCCAAACAGTCTTTTAGCAGTCACGTTTGAAATTTATAGGAAAAGGACGTAGCACTTCAAAAAATAATAATAATAAAAAATACACTTTTTTCACAGCCTGTCAATGCCTAGAAGGTGTCTATAAAAGAAATCAATTGCAGAACAGGAGTCAATTTCAGTTTTTTGCGCTTTTCACGCTAGCACTGCGAAGCGAACTGGGGGCGCGAGACACGCGCGATGCATGGGGAACAAGTTCTGCAGGCTATAAAAGAAATTAAAAATAAATAAATAAAGCAGGCCTGATTTTATTGCGATGAGTCTATTTTTTGTCGAAAGCAAACGTGAAAAATCGTATTAAAATTCGTGACAGTATGTTAACGTGACTTAAGCGTCTGACCGATTTCCGGTCACACGCCAAAGGTCATACGATCTTGTGCGATGTTTATTATCAGCCGGCAAACGATCGAAGTGATGAAAGGTTTTCAAAATCGAAGTCATTAGTTTGCGATGAATTTTCAATCTTTTGGCCTCCTGACTGAAGTAAAAACTCTTGCAACTCTTGCTTCTAAAGGACCGCAGTGACGTGTTGTGACTTCATTTCGATTCACGGCCGGATTCTGGCGCTGTGGCTGAGCAAACGTACGTTTGTCTTTTGGACCTTTTGGCTTAAAATTATGGATTTTGTGACTCAAACCGACGCAACAGAAGTTGGAAATAACTTTCCTTGCCGTAAAAACGTGTTACAAGCAATGGTGAGTAATCCTTTCATGTAAAACCTTTCTTTTAGTTTGACAACCGTCCGCAAGCCGTCTAATTTGCATAAATTTCCCAATTCAATTGCTCTCACCGCTTGCTTTGGTGTCAGGATGGTATTTGATTTCCAGAGCTAAAACTTTCCAGTAAGTTAGTACAAAAGCCAAGGTTCCATTTTATATTGATTTTATGATCAAGCGGCATATACCAGAGGCCTTTTTTAATAGTCAAAGTTGGCCTTCATTTTCTAGCACGTCTAACGTCACAAATATGACCTCTTTACACTTGTCGATTATAAAAATTTAAGACATTGTTTTTCAAATTTTCTTTTAAGGTTTTCAAGAGTAAGAACAAAATAATAATTCGGTGAAGTTTCAGTGTCAGGGAATGTTTCTTACGCGTTCACCCTTCTCTCGAAGTTGCCATTGCATCCTGCCGTGTTTTGTTCGAAAAACAGGAATAAAATCGATTTTTCAAACTTTTTTCAATTTCTCCTTTAAAATGAATCGTTTGAACCCAAAACTATTTTTCCTTAAATTAGGTCACTAAAAGGGATGTTTTGGCAAAATAATAAAAAATTCGATTTTTTGACGAGTGTCGTGCGATTCTCGATTTTCTCAGAAAATGGCTCTTAATTCCTGGTTCAGACATGCAAAGTTTCAATTTCAAGCAAGAAGAGAGTTTGGATATTGTGAGCACGACTGAGGGCCTTTTTTAACTACTGTTGCGGAAGACTCAACAGTACTCAGTTAAAAACCTATTGCCATCGGAGGAGGAAGTCTGGAGAATATTCAGCAAGTCTCGCAAAGAGTAATTTCCAGTCTCAGACGGTCTCGTGCAAAAAAGAAAACATTTGCAGAGTTCCTCAAAAGTTCTGCACAGCTGCTGAAACTTAAGACTGTATATAACGCTCCATTCAATGGTGGAAGCTGAAGGTCAGTCTCATTCAAAAACGGATGAAACCTAGAAAGCAATGAAATTCAGATCTTTGCATATTATAGAAACTGAACACTGATTGGGGTTATGTCAAAAAAAAAAGATGGCAAGTGCTGAAGGCTTGCATTTGACATTTGTCGTTATTAACTGCTTCTTCAACGCTTTCTTGTCTTTCACCGCCATCGTATTAAACATCATAACAGTGCAAGCGCTCAGAAAAACGTCTTCGTTGCCTAAGACTTTAAAAACATTGCTACTAAGCCTGGCTGTGTCTGATCTGGGTGTAGGCTTACTTGTCCAACCACTGTATGTTGCAATTCTTGTGATGAGAATCACAAACAGTACAGCTCATTATACGTTAAACGAAGTGCGTTTAATCCAGGGAAAAACATTGGTCTTGGCTTCCAATTTTGGTGTTTTAGCATTAACTGTGGACAGATTCTTGGCCATTCAGCTTCATCTCAGATATCAGGAGCTTGTGACTCACAAACGTGTTGTTGCTATTGTGATCTCATTCTGGGTGTTTAGTCCATCAATTTCCATCCTACTTCAATTGTATGATTTTAATATTATGCGACCGGTCATTTTCGTTGTTTGTGTCGTAACTACAGGATTGCTTTATTGCAAGATATACGCATCCGTGAGACACCACACAAAGCAGATTCACGCTCTGCAAGTACAACAGGCGACACAGAATGAAGATATGGCAAATGCCGCAAGGCTGAAAAAATCTTCACTGGCTACATTCTACGTTTATTTCGTCTACTTAGTTTGCTATTTGCCATTTTCTTGTGTTGGTTTTGCCAAGACCGTCAACGAAGAAACTCCCTTGTTATCTCATTTATTTCATATCTCATTGACTCTTGTGTATCTAAATTCATCCCTCAATCCCTTGATCTACTGCTGGAAGATGAGACACATTCGACAAACTGTTTTGGATATACTTCGAAATATTTTTGCGATTGGTCCACACTAAAGAAAGGATCTAACTGAGAATAACTTCTGCCTTTTTCTTTCTGAGTGGTGAAAATAATATCTTTCCAGCAATACAGTTGGAAAAGTGAAACTAAATATAAACGGGAGCTGAAACCTCTTGTACTCTCTGTTCGAAGGCAAAGGGATAAATATATGATCGAGCGAGAATAAGTTCATGAGATTTCAGTTTGCTTTGGAATAATTAACAAATAACGGAAACTCTGAAAGTATTATTTATCAAAGTCAGGAAAGAGGGCAAAAAGAAAAAGCTAGGTGGTTTAGGACGAATGACGAGTGACGTGATAAATAGAGGGCCGAGTTTCCAAATTTTCATGGGCAAAAAGGTTCTGTGTACAGTAAAGTGTCTTAAAAAGTTTATAAGATTTTGTTAACAATGTGCATGCAATGAAGAAAACTAACTAAAGAGGAGAGAGATCAAAACTATGTCAAAAAATCTTCCATACGAAATGTACCAAGAGTGGCGAAAAGATTTACCGATATAACAACAACAACAACAACAACACATGATAATAAAAATAATATGAATAATACTAATAAGAATAATAATGAGAAGAAGAACAAGACAGCCTATTTGTTGAGAGAGAAGAAAACTAGTAGTTTATACTGTTGAGAATATATATTACAATACTTGTAATTGGTTCATATCAATAAAGTTCATGTAAAAAAGTTAAAATGTTTTGAAGAATGGTAAAAATATACCATTTAATCTGGGTTTTTTTTAATTTATCGAGTCCAGAAATTACTAATAAGATCACTACATTTGAAAGTTTCAGACTGGGGGAGAAAGAGCTCTCCTCACAGCGCAACCGATTGGAACAAATGATCGATAGGTAAATGACATCATAATACTAAAATACCATATTACGGAACCAGAAAGCAGCCATAATATGGCTCCCATATCAAGCAAAGAGCTTCTTGCTCTGAGATTAAAAACTTAGAACCACAATTAAGTATAAGGCCCAGGGTTGAACCTAAGTACACAGTTTCCTCATGTCCCAGTTCAACGACTTGCAAGCAAGTCTCGGCACGTGCGTTTATAATAAAGTTGAAACTTTGTAGGAGACCGTACTTAATGTTTCCATAGGCATTTAGAACGAGCGAGTCCAAAAAAGTAATTATTGCAACCAATGATATACAACAGAACAACAGTAACAACGTGAAATGGAAAAAGAAAAATTACAAAATCGTATATTTTCCACTATTCTTGAACTAAAATGTGTTTTCTCCGACACATTAATTTTCCTGTTCGGTGGTTACGAGCGCTCTTTCATAATCATGAAAGTTCTCCCACAATTTCTATTTCAAGGGAGGGTAGGGACGAAAAGTAGGCTCTTGTCATTTAGCAACTTTTAACCGCAAAGAAAAACACACACTTCAAACACGCTGAAGCCTTTTTTTCTTTTTTTGGCCTACAATGTAACTTCTGGGTCCACCAATAAATGTACCAACCAATAAAGACAATAACGTCTAAAGTTTTTACTACCTACATTTATCATTTGTCAGGGAGGGGGTGAGGCTAATTATTATTTCATCAGTTTTATCCAAAAACCATTTTACCACTTCCTCACGTATACGTGTATATAAGAAGACATTTTACAAGAAAATAAGCGAGGTTTTTTTGTTTGTTTGGTACGCATTAAATTGCCCGCAACGATGTTGTTTTAGATATATTTTCAATAGAATGAAATTGAGAAATAGTTGATTGTCGTCCAAGACATATATTGCTTTTTGCAGCATGATTACTCATCGAATTGCCACGTCGTGTAGGCTGGTTTCATAAAGTTGAGGCTATAATGGATATTTTAAACATTCTGATTCTTGCTACTGATTAAACTTTGACACACAAGACAGTCCAAGACAGCATGATTTGTTTAAGTAACTACCTACTGTGTCTTTGTTTAACACCCTAGCTAGCAAGTTTTTTAATGGATAATAAGTTTCTTATCTTAACTCCTCCCTGTGACTCGTCATAGATCGTTGTTTATCAAAAGGTCTGCCCCATATTTTTTGCTTGGGTCCAGTAAATACATTGGATTGGTCTCCTACTTGATAGTCGGTTTTTCCTATAAGCCATCAATAAACTCTTTCTTTGTGTATGACTTTATATTAGCGATTGATTGCAACCAGCTGCTGCTGGTTTTCTTTGGCGGGAAAACGAAGAGGTCATGTTTTGATCCTTTCATCCATTGGCTGATAACACAAATAACGAACACTGTCCGAAACCATTTTTTCTTTTTGACCGACGAACTTCAACACTTAGTCCGACCTAGCGCGTTTCGGTTTAAATGAAAATATATTCAAATCACTCTGTGATGAGGACGTCATTTTAAATTCTGGATTACGGGCTCTAGCAGGAGGCCTGGGCTCTAGTAAGATATAGTTTTAATTCCAAACAAGTGAATATTTCGGATGCTATGAGTACATTTTTATGTTTTAATGGAGGGAGAAAATATCTTCTTGTTTATCAAATGTGCATTAAATTGCGAGCAACGATGAACTTTTTTTATATTAAACTAAAAAGACTAGCGATAATATGATTCACGTTTTGATAGTTGCCTCGAATGAATTTAATACCACCATCAATTAAGTTAATAAAGCATGACAGTATATTGTTCTTGAATACTTTTGTTATTAAAATGAAACTGAAACATACTTTCCGAGTTGATTGTAGCTTAAAACATATATTGCTTTTTTGGAACATGATTACTCATTGAATTGCCACCTGGTGTTGGCTGGTTTCATTAAGATGAGACTACAATGGATGTTTTAAACGTTCTGATCGTTTGCAACTAATCAAGTCTGACACATGTGACCGAATGATTTGTCAAGTAACAGGGGCACCCAACGAGAGTATAGTTCAAAACCACATAAACATAGCATTGTTGAACGTACTTTAGTATTCAAACGGTAGATAAAGGCTTATTTTATCCCCTAAAAATTTTTCATCTGTTCGGATTTCCTAGCTGAAAGTATAGTGATCCGAAAATTATAGGGATCAAAATTTACCTTTTCGAAAATTTCAGCCAGAAAAAAGGCTCCCGAAAATTCTAGGTGACCTTTCTAGGGTAAAAATCCGTTAAAAATGGGCAATTATACGATTTTTTTGAAGTTCGAAAATCCTAGGAGAGGCAGGCAAGCAAGAAATTTGTCAGAAAATGATCCGAAAATTCTAGACCTCAAATCGTCTTCCGAACAGATAATTTTCCGAAAATTGTCGTTGGGTGCCCCTGAAGTAACTACCCACTGTGTCTTTGTTTTAAAACCCTAGCTAGTAAGGTTTTTTTTTTATAGGTGATAAGTTTTTTTCTGAACCCCCAGTCCTATAACTTGTGGTAAGTCGTATTTAATTAAAATTTGTTCTCTTTTTATAGTTTTTGCTTGAGTTCAGCAAACAAGTTGGATTGGTGTCCGGCCTAATAGTCTGCTTTTCCTATAAACTATCACTGAACTCTTTTTGTTTGACTGTTTATTTGCGATCCTTTGCAAACCAACTGCCTTACCTAGCATAGTATATTGTTCTTGAATACTTTTTTAATAATATGAGATTGAAACATACTTTCCCAGTTGATAGTAGCTTAAGACATATATTGCTTTTTTGGAACATGATTACTCATTGAATTGCCACCTGGTGCTGGCTGGTTTCATTAAGATGAGACTACAATGAATGTTTTAATGAATGTTTGCAAATGATCAAGTCTGACACATATAACCTGAGATCAGGCGTTATTATTAATTATTATTATTATTTTATTTTATTTTATTTTTTTTTTTGCTTCTTTGCTTCTTTGACGCGAAGGTGGAAAAATAACGTCTGATACATTCATTTAACAAGCCATCAACCGCCCCCTAATTTACATAATCTAACGTCCGCTTGACCTGTCATGTTATTAGCCAATCAGCGGTTTCCAGACGGGAATCAAATTTTGGTGGGAATAATGTCTCTTTCGCCGAAATCAATTTTAGGGAAGAGAAAATTTTTAAGTACGTGCAGGTGGCGCTTCCTAAAAAAATTTAAATGTTTTTTTTTTGCCTTTATTTAACAGCTACAAATAATAAAGAATTTACAAGCTCGTTGACTTCGTTCTGTGGCGAAAGCAGTGGGAAAAAAAATTAGGCTGGAACATCATATTTCACAAACTGAAAAGTGCTGAGAAAGCGAAGATCGCTCAGACTGATTCGCAGGTTTCTGAAGGAGAAACTACCGTCAAACCAGGTCGAGATTCCATTCATGAATTGATTATTTGAAAAGTGAACCCGTTTGTCGCTTCTGTAACTTGTAGCCGGTATCAAATTGCATTCAAATGATCGGCGAATTTATGACAGTAATTTTTAGTAAACGATGAAATGGAAAATATTTCAATGTCGGAAATTTCTATTTAGACATTCTTCAAATTCAAGAAAACTGAGCTGGCAGAAATTTCATAACCAACTCACGCGTGTGTATTAACTGCTCATTACGCAAGCAAAATGCAGACTGAAATCAACAACAGCTAACGGATGGCGGCGTTTTGGCCAATCGGAACAGCGCAAATCATCCGTATTGTTTCCTATCCAATCAGGAAAAAGTTTAGATTCTGGCTTTTTTGCATGTGATCTGTGAAAGAAATGTATGATGCCTTCCTCCCAAAAACAGATTACAGAGATACAGGAAGAGGACAGGATCGCAAGCTAGACACATGATCGAATGATTTGTTAAGTAACTACCCACTGTGTCTTTGCTTTAAAACCCTAGCTAGTAAGGTTTTTTTGTAGGTAATAAGTTTTTTCTTCTGAAGCCCCAGTCCTAAGACTCGTCGTAAGTCGTACTTAATTAAAATTTGTTTGTTTTTTATAGTTTTTACCTGATTTCAGCAAACAAGTTCGATTGGTGTCCCGCCTAATAGTCTGCTTTTCCTATAAACTATCACTAAACTCTTTTTGTTTGACTGTTTATTTGCGATCCTTTGCAAACCAACTGCCTTTTCTAATTTAATATTGCGTCAGTAGTTCAAATAACTTTCTTCCATTTGACTGACGAACTCTCAACACCTACAAAGCTCGACCTTTCGCGTTTCTGTTAAAAGAGAGATATTTTCAAATTTCTGTGCAGTGAGAAGAACCCCCAGCATTGCACAGACAGTTTTAATTTCAGATAAGTTGAAATTTTAGATGTTATGAGTGCGTTTCATGGACTCTCTTATACCATTGGCAGTAATTTATACCAGTCAAGAGGACGTCTAGACGCCTTAGACGTTTAAGTCGTTGCTTCTAAGCCTGTGCATTTCTGATCTAGGTGTAGGTTTTCTTATCCAGCCACTTACGATGGAAATAACTAAAAACCGTAAAGAGACTGGCAACATTATTGCTTATTGGGCTGTTGTTAAAGCATATGCCATCCCTCTGAGTTTATTTGTTTTTGCCGCATTTTTTGGTGTTTTCCCGATAACTGTTGACAGATTCTTGGCCATTCATCTTCACAATCTCAGATACCAGAAACTTGTGACTCACAAACGGGTAGCTGCTGTCAGTAGTGAGCTCATTCTGGGTGTTCAGTGTAATTGCTTGCTTCTGGTATGAATCGATTAGTGCTTTGTCCGTGATGTCAGTTGTTTGTATCATAACTTCAGGATTGCTTTATTGCAAGATATACGCAGCCGTAAGACACCACACAAACCAGATTCGCGCCCTACAAGTACCGGAACAAGTAGCTCAGAATGGAGACATGGCAAATGCCGCGAGGCTGAGAAAAACTGCCCTTTCTACATTTTACACGTATATCCTGTTTTTAATTTTTCATATTTATAGTTTGTTCAAAAAATACACCTATTTCAACTAAGGTTGCTTCAGAGAGGAATGATGCATGATCCATGTTTCATAGCCCCCGGTGCATTATTGCAGCAAGTCTAGTAAATTTTGTGCCCGCAACGACGGCCTAGAAACCTAGAAAGCAAACGCTGCTGACGCTTCTATGCTATGTCAGCAGAACGTTATGACAATGTATTTCAAAACACTGAATCCTAGGCTTTTTAATATAAGACAGTGATTTGAGGTTAGGTTTTTCTCTGTGGTAATATGCAAATGCTGCAAATTTTCAACGAGTTTGGTTGGCTCTGTGCTCGTGGGAATTTTGGATGGAGTTTAAAAAAAATCAAATAAAACTCAAGGCGTTTGTTGAACAGCAATAAATAACTTAACCTCACGTGTTTATCTATTTTTAACGCATTTTTTTTTAAACTGAATAAAAAAAGGAATAACGTTGATTTGATTTATTGAAAAAAACAGCATTCTGGGCCATGCAAAAACGCAGCTTAATCAGGCGGGCCTATTCATTTAATGTTGTTAAAATAAATAATTAGTAATAAGTAATTTTTTACTATGAGGTTTTAAAAATTAAAATTTTCAGCTCGCTCATGCTTAAGAATTTTAGCAGCCATTGGACTTGAAAGCTCTCTTGAACGCCTTCTCACATATGTGACCCTCCACAGGATTTTAATGCTAAAGGTGAAAGCACGCGCACGACAAGCTTTCACTTTAAAACAAAAGAATTTATTTTAACACGCTTTAGCACGCTTGCAATCTTGCCTCATTAGCAATTTTTTTGTTTCAGAGGACACGCTTGAGACAATTAAGCGTGAGCAAGTCGAACAAAAGAGCGTGTTAAAGTTTTCAAACAAAAGCTCCGTGCGAAAAAGCACAACACGCTTTCAGTGTGCGCAAAAGCACGCAAGACGTGTTATCTATAAGCTAAATAAATTTCCTCTACAAAAAGGAACCGTAAATGATTATGAACGGCACCTTTTTTGGTAACTATCAATAGAGAAAAAGTTATACCTCAGCGATCGCAGCGATAGTATCTGATTGAAAAAACGTTGTCGCTTGAAAAGTACAAACAGTGAAGGGTGGGACCTACTGGATTTATGGGTAGAACTATATTAGCATTGAAAATCAAAGTTCTTTCCAGAAATGTTTACTGACGAAGCTGTGCAAAGGTTATCTTAACTTTCCTTAATTTAGAAACACATTTGCAATTTTCTCAGAAACAGTGATCTTTCGGACTTAAGTCACTTTCTTGCCGATCGTAGCAATCGCGATCAAATAGAAATCATCAAGTGTCAGGATCGCTAAATTGTATTTTATTCATTTTTTTAGCGATTGCAAGGATCGTAGTGATCAAATGAAAACCAGCCTGCTTTTGTAGATGTACCAAAATTCCAAAGCGGTTTCAATGTCTTAGCATGGTATTACCTGAAACTTATCGCGCTTGTTTCGTCCCATCAAAGTTAAAAAAAAAAAACGAAATATATTCTATAGTATATTGAATTATCGTTAATGTTTCGTCTGTTATGAGCGCAGCGTTGGGAACATGGAAAAACCGGCTTACATGCGATAGCAGGCCTCTGTGCGATTCCGGTCAACAGCCGACAGCCGGAGCAATTGGTTTACATTGATCTCGCGTTAATTCCAGGCTAGACGACCATTAAAGGGTGATTTTCAAATAGCTACGGTTACGATCAAATTCCAAAACAGTCTCAATTGGTATATTTGATTCACTTCGACCAGTTATCAGTGCTGATTAAATCCGCTGAAAACCCAAGCCATTTTTATCATCTTGGCAGTTTTAGTAATCAAGCGTGTTCACGGTGTCTTACCCAAATTGCACGCTAAGCGTGCTATAATTCGCACACTTACCGTGACATATGGCACGCTATGAAAAAACAAAAGGTCTAGCGTGTTAAATTTACCAAAACAAAGGCAAGTGCATATCCGTGATCTACGGCACGCTAAGCGTGTCGTGCAAGCGTGTCGTGAGCGTGCTTTTACCTTTAGCATCAAATTCCTGTGGAGGGTCACATATAGTCTCCATTATTTCAATGAACGTGAACAAGATTAAACTTCCCGCTACAAAAGGGTTTACCATAGTGCACTGTAGGCTATGAAACATGGTTCACGGGAGCAACCTTAATTGAAATAGGTGTATATAAACTCGTGTACTGCTAAGCTGCGAAGGCAACGCCGGAGAGCGGTGAAAAACAACAATAGATCTAATTAGCAAAAAAGCAACTTTGCACCTGCAACACACTTTTTTTGTATATTTTTTTGCCGTTGTTTTGCACGACTACAACTGAATTTCCACAAACTTCTTAGTTACACGCTTTACGGAGGAAATGTCGTACGTGTCGTACGTGGAGAAGTATTACAATACTTGAGACAACACGGATACAGAAACAATTTCTGCTTTCCGTTTTCGTCTTTTTTGACTCTTTAGTTGTCTCTGCTTTACAAGAGTCGGGTGGCTATGCGATTTCCCGCCCAAATAACCTCGAGTTGCATTTGGGTTGCCGTACCTGTTGATTGAGATATTTTACATTGGTATGCCTGTGGTGCGGACAGACGGTCGGTTGCTCGGTTGGGCGGTGTACGTTCACGTGATACCAAATTTTCTAGGATGGGTAAACTGTTGGATGGGTAGATTTACTTAGATATGCGGCTCCGCAAGCGCGCGCATCGCGCGCGTAGAGCTCCGCTAGTACCAGAGTTAATTTACACTTTCAGGAATGGTTTAAACTTTGGAGAGGGTATCCTAAATATACAGGTAGCTACAGCTACATTAATGCAGGTTTTACTGTATTTCTCTGATGCACAGATAACCAAATTTTCTAACCCACAGTGCACCCCTGCGCGCGAGAGCTTTGCCAAAAATGTTTGTGGTGAACCAAGACGTTCAAAACGCCAAAATAAATTTATGTCACGCAGCAGCCATTTTGTCTCAGGAGATTTTAAAAGCTTTGTTTATGCACAGCTAGACTCTTAGAGAGAACAAGACTTTTTAACAAAGCTTTTTAAATCTCCTGAAACAAAATGGTCGCCGTGTGACGAAGGTCTATTGCCTAATTCCTTTGTATCGCGTATCGTCTGTCTGACCAGCGGGTTAATTAGTCCCTCTAATGCCCTGTGCGGGGAGGCTCAGCCGAAAACGGCACATTTTTCATGCCTCAGGTATTTGAAAGGGCAAGGATTTCATTAGTTGAAGTAAATGAAATGGTAGGGAGATTTGTCATTTCGGTCCGTAACAAGGCCCAAAAGAGCTGAAAGATGCATTATGTCTGTGAGAGAGTCGGTGCAAGAAAGCATCCTGCCTTTCTGATTTGTTCACATTTAAAAGACAATGTATTTACAGCAGTTCGAAGGGATACAAAGTTCTAAACAAGGTATGTGAAAGGGGTACCATTTATCAATAGAAGGCAGACGAAAGGGGTACTGTTGTAGTGACAAATGCAATAATTGATCACAAATGAAGTAAAAATTGGCCACAAATGTGAAATGAATGAATGAATGTAAAATGAACGTAGTTGCCACTGAGTAAAACTCCACAACAGCACGTAACTCGGTAAACTTACACGACCTCCGCCAACTTCACGTAACTAGATAAACTTACACAGCCTCCGCCAACTTGAGTAAACACTGCTTTCGTCACACTTGACTAAACACAACCAACGTCAGACTCTCTTCGCTTGTGAAAACTAGTTAAAACTTAACTCGGGCTCGCCTACTTATATACGTTTACAATAATACATCGCCCATCGCATGAGTCGTGCGTTGGTATATTTTGCGCTGTCCATGTACTTCAGCGGCTCGTGGTCTGTCTGCAGCACAAAAGGTACACCGTACAAATATAGATGGAATCTCTTGATGCCCCATACAATCGCTAGACCGTTGTTCTCGATTGTAGAGTAGTTGCGCTCTGCACTTGACAATTTCTTGCTTGCATAACAAACAGGGAATAATTTCTCACCGTGCCTTTGCATCAATACTGCTCCAATTCCATTGTTGGAAGCGTCCGTCCGTAAGAAAAAGGTTTTAGCTGGATCGGGAAGACGTAAAAAAGGTTCACTTGTTAGGTAGGACTTGATTGTTTGGTAGGCTTTCTCTTGTGCTTCACTCCACTCAACTTTGTTGGGTTGGCCTTTCCGTGTGAGATCAGATAAGGGCGTTGGGTATCCTGCTAGACCCATAAATGAGCGCACCTGTTTCTTTGTGCTCGGCCTTGGGACATTTTTAACTTTCTCCACGTTATCCTGATGTAGACCAATCATTCCTTGCTCCAGTCGGTGTTCTAGGAAATCCACACTGTTTACTCCGAATAGGCACTTCGTAGGTCTAATAGTCAACCGAGCTTGTACAAGGCGCGAAAACAGCTCTCTGAGGGCTCTAACATGTTCTTCCCAAGTACGGGTGTGAACCAATATATCATCCCAGTAGAAGTCGACATCATCTAGATCTTCTATCAATTTCTTCATTGCACGCTTCAATGTTGCAGCCGAGTCAATCATTTCAAACGGCATCTTCAAAAACTCGTACGACCCGTCAGGCGTTACGAACGCAGTTTTCGGTATGTCCTCCTCTGGTATAGTTATCAGCCAATATCCCGTGCTAAGGTTAATTTTGGAAAAGAATTTGTCTCCGCTAAGCTTCTGGAACAAGTGTTCAGCAGTTGGCATAGGCTCAGGATCAAACACAGTTAGTTTATTTAATTTCCGATAATCAACACACACGCGGTTTGTGTTGTCCTTTTTCTT